AAAAAAAAAAAAAAAAAAAAAAAAAAAAAAAAAAAAAAAAAAAAAAAAAAAAAAAAAAAAAAAAACAGGAGATAGACTCACCTTATCTTACTTACGAGGCTAACGTACGCCATGAATGATGGGATAACGTACTATATGCGATGAAAGGACGACGATGTACAGATACATATTTTCGGGGTTTTTCTTTTAGCATGCAGCTAGCTAGCATCTAGACCTTTATGCGATGATAGAGCTAGAATTCATTGGGAATTTTACCCTACGGACTTAATGATACTATCACATGAGGCTACCTATTTGTCTAGTATTTTCTGTACAAGGTTACTACCTAATTCTATTATGATAACTTCCTTATAATAAGATAGGAATAGGGTGGAAAGGACAACATACATGTTGTCGAGGCATATGAAAATACAACATGAAATATAATAAAATAAGAAACAAACGTAACATACACCGGCACCGTGACATCATCTTTCCGCCCCAAATCGAAGAAAGGAAATGATGAAGGAAATGAACTCGTGCGAAGGGTCGTGGTAGGGGTGGGGGAAGAGGGCTAATGTATCGGATATACACTCATGACGCTAGTCAACTTGAATCGTAGATGAAGAACTGAAAAGAAGAAGAGAGGGCTACCAGGGGCACATCATTACAGAGGGACTTCATTAAAGTCTCCTTCTCCGCCCTCCTTTGATTTGCGCTCTTTGGTATTTGATGAGTCGCCTTTCTCTTCCTCTTCCTCTTCCTCTTCTTGCTCTCGCGTGTTCTCTTCGGTCTTCTCTTCCTCGTCCTTGCCTTCGCCCTCGTCCTCGTCCTTTTCTGGCGGAGATGGCGGTGTCTCGTGATCACCATTCTGCTCGGCAGTTTCATCCTCCTTTTCTTCATCCTTCGGAGGTGGAGGTGGCGGCGACTCTGTACTCTCGTCCGATCCCACCTCCTTCTCTTCCGCGATGGGCTGGCCGGTCATCTCGGCTCCCGGGAACGGCGTAACCGGAGGCTCAACGTTCTGCTCGTCTTCCTGCGCCGCCTGCCGTGATGGGGTCTGAGCCTGCGCAGCCGGGGGCGCCAGGTTCGAGGTGGCAGTAGAAACCGTTCGCTGATGCTGCGTAGAGCTGTGAATCGGGCCCAGCTGTCTTGCCTTGGGGTCAGCATTCAGGTAATACCCGCGAACACTGACAATAGTGCCTTCGGCCTCGCAAGCATCCACCCACTCCGGAACGACCACGGGAATATTCATCTCAACGGCCTTCTCCCAGAGCGGGCCTCTCCCCTCCGTACAGACAAAGTGGGTGGTATCAATGCGGACCGAGTCGATCAGCTTTCCACCGATGCGATCCAACGCAGCTGCAAGAGCATCCTTCTGTTGCAGGGGAAGGACACCCGCCGTCACCGTGATACCGGAGAGATCCGTCATCTTGTGCGTGCGGCAAGTCAGCTTCTCCGACTGGTAGGTGCCGGCGGTGGTGCGCAGGACGAGATGGAAGGTGTATTCGGTGTGGATGGCTAGACCGCTAATTTTGGTGCTTCGCGTCTCAAGCGGACGGGGGATGGACCCGGCTTTAGAGCCATTGCGGTACAGGGAGAGTGATTTCAGGGATGCGGTGGCTAGGTCAATAGGTTCCCATTCCAAGACGAGGGAAGTTTGGGTTGCGTTGCGGAGACGGAGAACCGGGGGTGTGGGGGTCTTGATGCCGTAGGTATTGAGGATGCGTTTTTGGAGCGACTGGAAGTTGGCGGCACTGGCGGATTCGGCTGTGTGGTTGCGCGCGACGGTGATGTCGACGATACTACCGGACGTGATGTTGCTGGGGAGAAGGACGGAGGGGAATTCGATCTGGGGCGGGTTAGTTGAGTATCAGGGCTACTCTGAAATAAGAGTGGATTATTTTGAGGCAATATCGTGCAGGCTCGTGCGTCAATCGCTTGCTGTAAGTGCGTGGGGATGGAAATTGAACTCACAAGTCTGTTGTCCTGGGTCAAGAGTACAGCGACTCCTGCGTCTACCTTGCCAACTGTCAAGGAGACCAACATATTGGAAACAGGTAGCGAATTCAGGGATGGCGCATCAAAGAGGGAACAAATTCGTGACGTCTGAGAACGTCTAGTCACGAGTAGGTGGCCGGGTAATCTTGAGAGGGAAGGAAGAGTTGATCGCAAGAGGAAAGCGAGGTTGTTGTTGTCTTCTTCAGGCTGAATGAAGATCGGCCGGTAGCGACAGGCGCCAAGGAGGCTCGGCCGCGTGGTCTCTGGCCCGCGACAACTACATGAATGCTTCTTTCATTCCATCGATAGAAGTAGCCGGTGAACATGGGATATGGGGAATTTAACAAATCTCCATTTTCCCTTCTTGTTCATCTTGACTTTGTTGAGAAATTATGCATAATGACAGGAAAACGCTGCATGTCTTGCGTGGCACATCGCAAGGGGGCTAAGTATATTTCCCGTCTGCTCATCCACTGATGTTGTACATATATACAATGACGGACCCGGATCAGTGTCCAGAACCACTCTACCTGATGCGCAAAAGTCGACAAACGCTATAATGATGATGTTTCATTCCCTTTAGCATCACGAGCATCCACTGCCTTCTTTTGCTTTTTCGCCGGCTTAGGAGCTGCATCTTTCGTCGTCTTCATATGATTTACCAAAGCACTCACACCAGCATCCATCTCCTTTCGCAATACCTCAAATGGCTCCCGCAATATATCCGCATGAAGCAATAGGTCAACTCGCCCCTGCAGATTCTTTCCATTCCTCTGTTTCCCATCAGAGTCACTCAGCAGTTCCTGTCCTGCTTTCCGTCCGTCTGCGTCAAACCCATGGTCTTTCAACGCTAGCCGGAATGCCATTCGAGCTCGTCGGCTACACCACGATCGAACCACGCGCTTCATCCTCACGGACATCAGATGCGATGGATTTACCATCCACCAGAGTGTGTTTTTGTCGCGGGTGGCATACATGTGTGTGATCTTAGGCTGGAGAGGATGGACATCTGCGTTTAAGTACCGGGAGGCGACATGGGACGGTTTGTAGTTTGGGAAGTATCGCATTATGAACGATTTGTGACTCCTTAGTGTCTTCATAATGGGTGTATGTTGGAGGCCTCGGAACCAAGTCAATTGACTCCGTATATAGTACAATAATGGTAGAATAGATGGTAGGACGCTAGCTGGATGCTTGGTATATTAGCACTAAGTAGTATTATGCGCCTATCGCCGGATCGGAACAGAAAAAGGCCAGCTCTTCCAGCAGCGAGCGAAATGTATCTATCTCAACATAGTGTAAGCAATAGAACAGGTAAACATTCACAATATGTGGAATACGAACCAAGAAAGAGCGCATCCAATTCTCTTGCGAGCCAAAAAGTTATCCCAGCATTCGGGGATGCTTCGGCGGTCCCCTGATTCTGCCACCGAGCGGTCAGGTTATGCTGTCATTGATTGGCGAGCCCCTTGTGGCAAGCCTCAGGCGCAAATCAGGCTGCAACGCCACCCACCCACCATGGATGACATAAGCTAACGAAAAGCCTCGCAAAACATGAAGCGCCGGCCTCTCGCTTGCCTCCGCCTTCCTCGTCTTTCCCCCCACTTCCACTCTTCTGGTCCTCAGGGACATCTATTTAAATCTCCCCTTAACCGGACATCTCCTATCGCATCGAGTGAAAGACCACCGCGGTTAGCGAGATCCCAACATGCCCAAGAACAAGGGAAAGGTGAGTTTGTGCTGCATCCCACCCGGGTACCCCGCCTTACAGATTTTCGCTTTGTTTTACGCTTGACTCTGGAGCGCACCTCATGCCACCATATCCCACCTTAACGACACACTTCGGCCAGGAATATGTGGGATAAGGCGGCATAGAGGCTGTTATGCCCAGAGAGCATTGCAGAGCGAAGCGAACCTGCGCCACAAGTCTGTACGCATGTCTAGGACAGTTTTGCTGACGTATCTGCATTCAAACAGGGCGGTAAGAACCGTCGTCGTGGAAAGAACGAGAACGACAACGAGAAGCGTGAGCTTGTCTTCAAGGAAGAAGGCCAGGAGTATGCGCAGGTCGTGAAGATGCTTGGTAACGGCCGTCTGGAGGCACTTTGCTTCGATGGCGAGAAGCGTCTGGCTCACATCCGTGGCAAGCTCCGCAAGAAGGTCTGGATCAACCAGGGCGACATCATCCTTCTCTCGCTGCGTGACTACCAAGACGAAAAGGGCGACGTCATCATGAAGTACACCGCCGATGAGGCCAGAAGTCTCAAGGCCTACGGCGAGTTGCCCGAGCACGCCAAGATCAACGAGACCGACACCTACGGCCACGAGGGCTTCGAGGACAACGTCGAGTTCGACGAGGACCGCGAGAGCGAAGACGAGAAGGAGATCGATGTCGACGAGCTCTAAACGCCTCTTTCAGGGGCACGATCTCGTATCCCTACCGGAGCGACTGGGTTCGGTTCTGTTTTTCTCGACTCATTAAAACTATTGTTTTCTTCAAAAGCCTTCATGGGAAGAATCTCCCCGAGTATTCTTCCGAACAAGCTGTTACTTGCTTTGAAAGGAAAGAAATCGGACGGCTTGTGCATGCTGTGTGTGTGCTAGTCGAGATTTTCCCGCGAAGGTGTCTCGAGTAAAGGAATCAGGGCGGCAGCACCTCCCCGCTCCGCATAGGCGCGTTCTGCCTTTGCTGCGCCCGGTGCGGCTCCGTGTAGTTCGGGGTATGGATCAGTAACAGGGGTTACGCCGGGGGATGTTCTTCATGGTGGGGGTTATCGGTTTTCTGGACATATTCGTGTTCCATCATGAGGGTGTTCTCGGGTTAGCTACAGAAGGATGGCTTACTGCGCACGAGAAGGCCGCACGGTCTGTGGCGTGTTGGCGATACTTATGTTTGCTCCCTGTTTTATTCGCTATTCCTTTTCATTACGCTTCGTTCTTGACAAAAGTGGATGATAGATTTATGAAAGGGTCACGAATATGAATATATTACCAATCTACTGTCCTCTGTAGAATTCAGTAGCTTCGTATCTCCAGCTTCTCGTACTGTAATATCGCGCGTATATACAACGATCACCTCAACTCTCAAACACACTTTTACGAAAGAACCCAACGATCTTCCGAGCCGCTTCTATCCCAATCAATGGATCCAACTGCTCAACGCTCATATTCGCAACCTCATGTATATTCTCCGTCTCCACAATTAACCGCTCAAGGACATTGGGATTAACACCCGGCACAGCCCGGAGCATATCCTGAGGCAAGAGATTAAAGACCCGATGCTCGATCCCTGCCGCAGCCATTATATCGCCAGAGTGCGACGACGCCGCAATATCCATGTCTAGCCCTGTCTGGACGGCCCGAATCGGATCCGGCTCTGGATTATTCTTCTTCAGCTCGGCGAAGATTTCAGCTGTCTGGTAGGGGGAAGAGGACCAAATGATCTTGAGCCGGGGAAAGGTGAGGGTTAGGAGAACGAGTAAGTGCTGGGCGGATTTGGGGCTAGATGGGTTGACGAGGGAGCTGTTCGCGGATAGGGTGCTTGTGCCGGAGGAGGAGAAACCGAAGTCAGTGAGGAAGGTTGTGCCGGGGGTGGTTGCGGAGGCGAAAGCGTCGAAGGTGAAGAATTTGTTTTGGTCGAATTCGATCAGAAGAAGGGGGTTCTTGTAGTGTTGGAGCATGGTTTCTGCTTGGTTGTAGAGACGGCCATTTCGTAAAGAGGATATCAGGTCGCGGACTGATTTGCGTTCTACGCAGATGTCGGGCGTGAGGATGTAATCGCCGACTGTGAGTTGACATGGGACGATGATCATGTTGTTGCCATGTAGCAGGGATGGAAGGGCACTTCTGAACTCGCGCACATCTATCACGACTCGGGGTGGTGATGCAGTTGCGGCTAGTCGGCCGCCTCCTGCGATGCGGGTGTTCACGGTGCGAAGGAACTGTTCTTGAGGGTCTACTTGGCTCTTATCATGTGTGATGGTGACAGCCATGTTCTGTTGTCTCGAATTAGTAAAAATAGGAAATGGCAGGAGGGGCATCTTACGCTTTTTTCTTTGATGAGCTTTGTGAACGAGTCTTTCTCACGCCGTACGGCGCTCAAGTAGCGCTGTTCTTCGACAGATCCCCCGTAGTAGATAAAATAAACCCGCACGTCCCTCCCAACATGAGAGCTGCGATAGACCTCAACTCGTCGGATGAATGCAGGGTCTGGCTCGTACATGATGATGTATCGAGGCCGAACCTCCTCCAGAATATGCTCATCCATATCACCGTCGTAAGGGTGTATGATGACCAAGTCATCCATATCGTACAATTCGTAGTAATCGTCCATATCTTCTAAATCATCGATAATGATCTCCTCTTTTTGGGTCTCTTCGACCTCAGTAGGCTGAATCTCCTCTAGGAGTGCCGACACCTGCGCCGGAGGTTCGATATCCACCTGTATACCGCTGTTTGGCGCGCGTGCTGGGACGGATGGAGTGCCTCCCCCCCGGACTCGGCGCCGCTTGTTCATTGGGGCTCTTCCTTGATTCAGAGAGCCAGGTGAGTTCACCGCTGGCGATTGAGGACCGTCACCCGGGGGGTTTGACGAAAAGTTCTTGCTAACATTAGACAAGGATAACTTCCAGTCCATATAGTCCCGCAGCCTTCGGCGCATCATAACTTCAGCAGAGCCCTTCTTCTCGTGAATGGCATCACCTGGATTCAATGTATCCCTTGTCTCCTGCTTCTTACTACTCACGTTGGCATGCATTGTGCCCATATACTCGCGAAGTTGCCGACAGGTCCGTTGGTCACTGCACATGATCAAGACGGTACTGTTGGACTCGTCCACATTGACTGGGTTGAGGTATGCGTCCGTTTCAATTTCCTGCAGGACCTCCGCCACGACTTCCCATTTTGGTTGTTCTTCCAGAACGGGCTGAAGTGTGGTAGGGAATGACGTGGATGATGAGCGGACTACATCGTTGCTAATACGCCCCTGATATACTCTTGATCTTGCGGTCTGAAAAAGTACATCGGCTGCGTCGAGAAAAAGCCATGGCGAATAGCTATGTTTCGTGGACCCAGGAGGCGGAGTATGTGCTGTGACGATCGTATCAAGATATTTAAGGAATGAGACGGCGTCATAGGTGAGCAAAGCACTAGATTATAGGTCAATTCATGAAGCACAGCATAAAGATGGGTTGTCGCACTGGAGAATTGCCCGAAGGTCTGATAAGTCACTGACGATCTGTCTGGTCCGGAAGCTCACACGGTGCCATATGGGATCCAGTTGGCGCCTAATTGCAACATCGAAGGACCTGTGTAAAGCACTGTCGAGGGTCCAGTCTGCCATGTCAAGCCCTGTGTTTGCTTTCTTTAGCTCTCCTATACAAATCTCCACGCACTCAAGGACAGCGTTTTGGATTTCGCGCATCTTATCACTCATCGGAACTTCCAGTTCGATCACCTCCGCTTTCCGATGGCCTTCGAGAGCCTCCGCGACGGTGACATGGAAGCGTGGCCACAAGGAGGTTTTGCGAAGGAAGAGATTGCGCATGGAATTCGCCAGAGGGGCAAATCCGGTCGTGAATGGTTCCGGGGCGTCGGAGAAGGCTTTTAGGAATCCACGTTTGTTGTGTTCTCGATATGCCCGGATAATGAAGGCTTCAATAGACGTTGCCACAATCCTGTATGTCCTTAGTATGTCCTCCTTAGGAGCACAGACATGGTTGCTTACTTATCAGCATGAAGCACGACCATACCAGTGACCTTCTCAGGGTCGAGCAGCTCTAGACAGCAGGTTAGGAGGGTATGTTATCGCAAGACAGCAGTAAAGGGTGTCACTAACTCGACAGAAAGTCAACTATTAGTATCCTGGATGTTACACTCAGGATACCACCTTCGGAGTAGATCTTCTCGCTGGACTGACATTAGCTTGGAAAGTCATGGATCACGCATGAGTACATACCGCATTGGAACCGTGGCTCTGTCAGTATTGATCACCTTGAGCCCCCTGGCAAGAGGGGTTTTGCTGATAGCATAGTGCTCAGCCAAGGCTAACGGAAATCAGCAAAAGATGCTTCCACATAACCCACCAGTAAACCGTCTGAATCGCAGCATCGTACCTTCTCCAATCCATTCATTCTCCCGATCATCTGCGCCAACAACAAGCACCAAGTTGTTTCCCGCAGCATCGTAAAAATGTAGCAAATTCGTTACCAGGCGTAAGAGGCCAAGTCCGCGAGCAAGGATTACCAACTCATCCTCCGAGCGCAGTTCGGTGAAGATGTCCTGCTGGTATTGCTGGAATTGATTCTGTCAGCAATCCCATAAGTGTCTTGGGTTGAGCACACAATGCAGGGCCGTAAAATACTCACCAAGGGCAAGGACAGCTTCACCGGTACATTGGGGCGTTCAGGTGGCATGAGGAGCCTCTTGACGCGAGAAAGTCATCTTCCTTCGCGATGAGAATGACCAAAGCCAGCGCGTGATCACGTGGGGTATGATGTAATGACGCTTTATTGGAGCACCAGCAGCAACCACTACTGTGTGAAACATTTTACGAAGAGAACGATTGTCTATACAGAGAAGAAGAGACTATCTCTGTCTATCTATCATTGCACAGGATGTGTGGTCAGTAAATGTGGTGTTGAAGTTGTGGTTCTCAAGTCTGTGTGTGGTAATAATTATAACTAAAGGTTTAAAGGAACATTTATCCTCGGGCGATTAGAACTACTATGGAGACCGGGATACAAGCATAACATTATTAAATAGGATTGCTTCATAAACGTACAGCGATCGTATACCCCATTGGCATTGTCAAATTTCTTCTACTACTTGTTCAGTTCCTTCTTACGTGCCTCGATCTCTTCCCTTGGGACTTTGGGGGGCATGCCTACATACTAACTTAGTGAACTGCCACATGTGGAGGGTTTGTGGGACACAACGCTGACTTACTGTCAGGGATTTGAGGACCCTTGGACAAGTGATCAAGCATGGTAGCTTTCTGAGTTCCCTGATCGGAGTTCCTCTGCTCTTGGTTTGGAGCGTTGTTGTCGCTGTTGCCTTGTTGGGCTGGGAAGTCGGAACTCGAGGGGATGACAGGCATATTGATGAGTAACTGGTCAATAATCGAAGGTGGTGAGTAAGAGAGGAAGAGACAGTCAAGTTATGCTGCTGATAAGGAGAGTGCAGGCTAGTAATAGCAGCGAGGATAGTGATCGGGAAAGGGAGACTTTCTATATCCTTAAGTAGTCCTTCGAGTTGCAGCACATGCGATGACGTCGGTTGGGCTGCAAGTACCACCATAGTACTAGTAGTAAGAAGCGCGCCGTTGAGGCAATGCAGTCACGACTCTTTCACTTGGTTGGCGGTGATCCAGTGAGATGAGCTAATTAGATGCTGTCAAAGGCGATTCCCTTGGATCTTGCATGCCTGCCTAATCCATAATCGCCATCATGATTCATATATGAGTCGCAGGCAGGCACCCGTGTTGGTCTTTGGATGATGCCGCACGAGACCATTGTGGAACTTGGGAATTGCGAGGCTTTTTGCTTAAAAAGGATAGTTCTTGAGATAATTAGTCTCGCATATTTTAGTGCTTCGCATGTTAATACCAGCACTTGAGCAATTACTTAGAACTCAAGGACCGTCAGAGTGCAGTGCTGAGTGAGCGCCAGTTGCTTTCAGAGACGTCGGGATCCCCACCGCGGCGTTAGTGGACTTTAGTGGCTCTCCGTCGCTCTCTCCCGCCAACGCTCCTCTTCCGGCTACTTGACCTCTTCTCCCTCCTCCCCTCCCCCAAAGCCACACTTGCTCGGCCACCAATCCTACACTCTCACGGCCTTTCTGTTATAGATAGAGCCTAACTAGTATTCGCTCATTTCTTTCGCGTCCTTAGGGTAGCCCTCCAGTCACCCGCCTACCCCACAAATCCTGGGAATTTCGACCCCCCTTTGTCTCAGACACATCCGTTGTTGCCGCGCCGTATCAGCTCTTATCCGTGCCTGAGGAGCAACCACCCTCTGGTAATCCGGACTCACTAAGTTACACCAGACACCCTGCAATGCGCCTCCAGCAGGCGATCTAATTATTCCTACCTCACCGGTCATAATTCGCAAGCTATTAACTCGGTGTCTTCGTGTGTCGATCCAGCGCTATGCCTTCAATCCTGAACGACAACGACAAGGAAACAGTCAGGAGAACTGTACCAAAGCCTGACAACAAAATCTTAGCGGTGGCTGTTGCGCGCCTCTACGTGGCCCACCCAGACACCCAGAGATGGACGTACACTGGCCTGCAGGGAGCTGCAGTTTTAGCAAATGACCTGGTCGGCCGTACCTTTTGGCTGAAATTGGTGGATGTATCGGTGAGCACAGCCTGGTAAATCATGCACTGTGACAGTTACTGACAGAAGACACCGTGCTGTGCTTCAGCCTGCCAATAGGGGAGTTATTTGGGATCAAGAGATCTACGATAACTTCGCGTACAACCAAGATCGCACGTTCTTCCACTCCTTCGAATTAGAAGACTGTCCCGCCGGACTGTCATTCGCCGATGAGAAAGAGGCCAAGACATTCATCAAGAAAGTACAGGAACGAGAAAAACATGCGAGCAAAGAGACACGGCAGACGCCCTTTGCATCAACCCGAGGCCAGGGCCCTGCTCCGGTGGTGAACGGCAAATCCGGGGTTGGACGATCGCTGTTTGGCAGCTTACTCGGCCATCGCTCATCGTCAGGATCTCATGTACCCCCGCCGGTGACACCTGCGGAACTGCCTCCTGCTCCCTCGATCCAAGTGGCTCCCCCGCCTCCACCTTCGGCCAGCCCAGCACGCAAGGAACTGCCGTTCGACACCAATGACCCTGCATTCAAGGGCGTCCTGGACGAGCTCCTACAAATGGGCATTACGGAAGACTTGATCGCCGAGAACTTCGATTTCATCAAGTCCTATATCGAACAGAAACAAGCGGCAACGCCCAGCCCCCCTTCTGCCGATGATCAAAGGAAAGGAAAAGCGCCGCCTCCACCTCCCCCGTCTGCGCCGCCTGCTCCGAAGGTGGCTGCCATCAGCCCACAGAACACTGGCAACAGCACAGGGAGTCGACGAGGTGCTCCGCCGCCCCCTCCTCCGACGAGGAGGACTCGAATGGATACGACGGATGACGAGCCTGCCTCGAAACGTGAACCGTCTCCTCCCAGGAACCGGTTTCGTGCGCCGCCTCCAATTGCAGATGCTGGTAAATTTGCTCACACACCATTGCCGCCTACTCGCCAACGGGCCTCGTCAAATGCTACACCCGGTCCTCCACCTCCTCCACGGCCTCCAAAGACTCCAATGGATGAAAACCACTCCCGCTTCGGCGTTCCCCCGCCGTTCCAGGGCGAGCGCAAGGTGTCTGCTCCTCCCGCACCTCCCAGTCGGCCAGGGCCTTCAGGGCCTCCTCCTCCTCCCCCACGCACTATGAGCCCTGTGCCACCTCCACAACTACCTCCCAAAGTTCCCAATGTCTCTGCAACAGGACCTCCTCCACCACCACCCAGAAGCCCTGCTTCGCAGCCGCCACCACCCCCACCTGTGCCTTCCAATTCCCGGCCTATTCCTCCCCCACCTACATCAAGCGTGTCGCCTCCTTCGTCGGGTCTTCCGCCCCGGCCTCCTCTGCCAATTGGTATTCCTCCACCTGGACTTCCGCCATCGCATCCTTCACCTAGTGCCGGACCTCCTGCACCGCCTCCGCCCCCACCGCCGCCCACAAACTCGGTCCCGCCTCCTCCACCCCCTCCGCCTCCGGCAAGCACTGGTCCTCCAGCACCCCCACCGCCTCCGCCGGCACCAGGAAGTTCAATCCCACCACCTCCTCCTCCTCCACCGCCAGGAGCTGGTGCTCCACCGCCGCCACCGCCGCCTCCTGGAGCTGGTGCGCCTCCCCCGCCTCCTCCAGGTGGAGCTGCTCCGCCCTTGCCCAAAGCCGAAGGTGGTAGGAATGACCTCATGGCTGCCATCCGGGCATCTGGAGGAAAGGGCGGCGGTGGCCTGCGGAGGGTCAAGGATACAGAGAAGCGTGACCGGAGTGCAGCCCTTGTACCTGGCTCAGCCAGCGAATCGTCCGCGCCGACCCCAAGTGGTGGTGCTGCTCAAGGAGGCCTGGCAGGTGCTTTGCAAGATGCTCTGGCGAAGAGAAAGCAGAAGGTCAGCGGTAGCGGTAAGTAGACACCCCCTGATGGCCAGTGATACGCGTACTAATGTGGACTATAGATGACGAGAAGGAGGACGATGACGATTGGTGAGCCATGCTTGAAGGCACTTTATCATTTTTCCTAAAACTCGTATTGTTGCCGTGGCTTAGACATGTTGGATTTTGTGTGATACCTCCGTCGTGCAGCCTCAATATTCTTTCCTGTTCTTGGCATATATTCCCATCCGGTGCGTGGAGGTGAATGTCTGGTTTTCCTTTCTAGTCAGCATTTCCTGCAGGTGATCAAAAGTATGCACTGGAGATTGGAGCTGTCTGACAGCGGGTCCATTCCCTAGTCTCAAGAATGAAACAATGCTTGTGCATTTGGGAACATAGATCTCAGGCGCTAGTAGATCACTATTACAAGATGAGTTTTTCTCATAAACGTAGATATCTCCTAGCATTGTCCGTCCTATCAACAGTGGGACAATAAGAGGCGATCAACATCCCAGCATTCACCACACACTCATTCTCATAGCTCTAGACTACAACCGGGACCGCTTGGTCTGGTACCTTGCTAATGCAATGCTTGGTGGGGCATCCCTGCGGCTCAAAGCGAGCAACCAATGGTTCCAGCTTTTGGCATTTCCGATCTGGTGCTAAAGTGGGGCCTTCTAGAAAAGACCAAACTTGATTAGGTAAGCTTCATGTGACGATCGTCGAGATGAGACTCGGAGTATCTTGCTATCGTGTATCTTATAGCAAGTGAAATAGGAGAAGTATGTTGTTGTTGTTGGCGAAGGAAAGTCTATAATTTGGTATAAAATCTGGCTGTAAAATATGACGAGCAAAGAGCAAATTGGTATTTGATGGTTATGTCCTGTGTAAGATCATCTCGAATAATGAGACCTGGAATAAATAGAGTCTTAACCAGCCATTGATACTTGCAACCAAGAATAAAAAGCCTTTATGAGGAGAGTTATACAAGTCTCCCATAAAAGCTGTGCTGTATTTGGTATGAGCTCTGCCGATCATTCTCGTAAATTCGTACATGGCTTCACCTTACTGTAGACCAAAGTCATCCAGTGAACTTTATGTTTGCGCATACACAGTAATGTGTTGCTAGCAAAGTATTATACTGAAAGTCAGCCACAACTTCCACCATGTACTTGTCCAAGATATAACGAGCAAACCTTCATGAGGAAAAACGAGGGAATATCATGGTGAGTCCGGCCCATCAAGCGCTGCCGGATTATAGTTGGTCCGAGCGGCGCAACTTGGATGCGGGAAAAAAGATGGGCGATGATATGGTTTGTTTTGGAACCGGATGAGTGCTGGTCGTCATTCTGGTCGGTGAAGCCATAGTACAAGGCAGAGATGCTGTCTCCGTCGTCTATGAAGCCTTCAGCTCCGTCAGCATCTCTTCTTCGGTTTCTGCGATCACAATCCGATTCCTTTTTCTTCACAGCCAACCCAACTACTTGCGGACGATCTCTCAATAATGATCCCCAGCTTCATCATCAGCATCACGCCTTTTCGCTAAGCAGGACGTCGGACTGGACGCATATAAATCCTGCACCATGCCGTGCAAGCCTAGAATCATGCTTGTTACCCTTTCCGGGCCTCTCGACTAGAACTCGCGGTACTTTACGATGTCGGGCGTCGCTGGCTCAACGCTCTTCACCGAGTCCGTTTTTCCTCCCTAATGCGCAGTCTACGCGCGCATCATCCACCAAGAGCAAGAGCTTATGGCGTAGGCTCTTTGACTTCAAGCGAAACAAAGCTGCCGAATCTAAATCATATCTCCGCCAGCCACCTGCACTGATCAATGACGGAACGGAGGGAAGCTTTAATATTGGCCGCGGATTAGTGGCAAAGGCATCTAATGAGCCGCGCCTGCGATGTACTGAATTCGACAGCACTGGGAATGTGACTTTAGTAAATGGCGAATTTAAGAAAAGTGAGCTGATTGCCAAGGTCAGTATCGGTGGCTCTTCGAATCGCTTCATCTTAGGAAGTGACACATGACTGATTTCAAGCATAGTATGGTCTCCTGCCTCGGGACTTGCGAAAAATCGACTCGTCTACTCTGCCTCATATCTTAGTGCGACCGCGCGCCATTCTCATCAATCTCCTACACCTCCGAGTCTTGATCAAGGCTGATCGCGTTCTCGTGTTCGATGCGTACGGATCCACGGACTCATACATGCAGTCCCTATTTGTGTATGACCTTGAAGGAAAGCTACAACAGAAACAAGGGCAGACTGCGGGTGCGTTGCCTTACGAATTCCGAGCGCTGGAAGCGGTCTTGATCAGTGTCACAAGTGGCCTGGAGGAGGAATTCAACGGTGTCAGAGATCCGGTTGTGAGCGTGCTTAGGGCTCTGGAAGAGGACATTGACCGCGACAAGCTCCGACATCTGCTTATTTACTCCAAGAAACTCGGCACGTTCGAACAAAAGGCTCGCCTCGTGCGTGATGCGATCGACGACCTGCTGGAGGCTGACGACGACCTGGCCGCAATGTATCTTACTGAGAACTCGAAGGGTGTCCGACGCGAGGAACACGAACATCAAGAAGTCGAGATGCTACTGGAGTCATACCACAAAGTTTGCGACGAAATTGTGCAGGCCAGCGGCAACTTGGTGACTGGAATCCGCAATACCGAGGAAGTGTAAGTTATTCACAGTGTCCCAGATGGTTGTCCTGTAACTGGATACTGACCTAAACTACAGTGTTAAAGCCATCCTGGATGCCAATCGCAACTCCCTCATGCTTCTGGACCTCAAATTCAGCATCGGAACGCTCGGACTCGCAACCGGAACCCTGTTTTCCGCACTTTACGGAATGAACTTGAAGAATTTCATCGAAGAGTCGGACTTGGGTTTTGGCGCCGTGTCCGTTACATGCTTTGCCATTACGATTGTTGTCTGTGTCTATGGGCTCGCCAAACTGCGCAAGCTTCAGCGTGTCCGCATGTGGGGCGAATCCGGCGTCGGCGGTGCATCCATGGTTTCTCTCCCTACCAGAGGCGGCGCGCTCGCCAGCCATCGGCCAAATTGGCGCGCGGACACCGTTGAGCCTGTCTGGGGCAGTCTCCCTGGTGAAGGGCGCGTGGAGAGGATCAAGCGTATCAAAGACAATGCAGCTGCAGCTGCAGCCCGATCTGCAACCCTTAAGGGTGCTAATGTGCCCCCAACGTCGTCTGGAGAAGCTACCAAGCCGTCAGAGAGTTCTTAGACCATAATTTGTCACACTAACAATCAGTGGGGTCTCATAGAGCATCGCTACTATCAAAATCTGACCTACTCGGCTCTACTCTACAGTCCTGGCCTGACCATCATCCCTGCTGTTGCGGTTGTGGTGCTATGGCTCAGGCATTCGAGCACGAAGTTTATCCACTAGAGCTTATAGAACCGCATGGCAGGAGTTCGGCATCTGGTTTGTATTCTGATCTTATATTACTTTTGGGTCTATTTTTCAGCTAGTACTGCCCTCCACTTCATGGGGAGATCCTGTATCTAGCTTGGTATACTTACCACACTCAACTCACTCACGGGTTTCTTATTTCATGGGAGCTAAATCTGCTCTGTAATGTGTCTATAGACCATAGATGTCGAATCGGACACCGACAATGTTACATACAGATGTACATTTATAACAATCAAAATCATCATGTCTTTTTTCTTCCATGTACATAGACGAAACTATCTAATGTGCATTTTCAACTAACTTTTGCAGGGGGTATCTCATCCACATATCCTCTCTATACTTTTCACAACACAAGCATGTTCAATGCCCACCCTGTTTCCCCATCCCAGACCCCTTATTCAACCCCTTCGCCCTCTCAATCCAGATCTTCCCAGCAGCCTCAACGCCCCCCTCACGCGAACACTCCCGCCTTACAGCATCCATAACCCGCTCCAGGACCACTTCTCCATCACCACCACCACCATCAACCAATCCACTTCCCCTCCCCTTCCACACCTGTGTCGTCCGCCTTCTTCCTCCAATAACAGCCATATTCCTCGTACTAGGAATCCGCAACAGCGTCCTCTCCACCTCGTACCCGATTTCCTCCGCCACACTCATCGTCTTCGCCGTCAACGAACCATACATTGACTTAAGGAACCCTGCTTCCGTGGTCTGAGCATCCTGTTTCTCCTTCCGGAGGGATTTGAGGTCTCCTGATGAAGGATTATTCTCTTCTTCCATTCCTCCTTCGTCTTCTTTATCTGATTTCTCCTTTTTCTTGCCCGCCTTAGGAGGCGGATACCGGAATCTCGCTCCAGAGAGCGAATGCGAGCAGCATGGGATAGCGATAAAGGGTGATGGCGACTCGGGACAAAGGAGCGTAGCCATGAGAGGAGTCCAGACGGTGAGTTCATCTGCGTGGTTGGAGATAATGAATGTGTCTTTTGGGAAGGACCCCGTGTGGGATTTTATGGTGAGCTCTTGGAGCAGAGAGGGGTTCGTTTCGGAGAATGGTTTGGGGATGTAGATCTCCTCTGTGAGTCGTGATTGCACGGATTCTGGGAATATGCTCCATGTTTTGCGTCGGCGGGCGTCGAAGCCCCAGCCTTTGTAGCCTTCCATGAGCAGGACGTAGACGAGGACGCCGTTGCCACAGGCTACGTCGACGAAGCCGGGGAAAGCGGAGGTAGATGGGGAGGAGGTTTGCTCGTCTGCTGGGACCGCGCCGTACATGCTTCTCCAGAGTTCGATCAGGAATGCGGTGATTGCGAGGTCCTCGAAGACATGCTTGGAGGGCTCGGTGCTCTCAACCCAGTTTTGGCAGAGCTCCGCGGCGTACTTTGCTTTCAGACGCGTGTAGGTGTTTTGCACTAGGTGCTGAGGGATCACGTTGTCTTTGGCTGGGTTTTGACTGCCGCCGCTGCCCCCTTCTGGTTTGCCGGTTAGACGGGTGCCGCGGGCGAGGCGGATTTGGATAGTCAGGAGGGCTTGTAGGGTGCGTTCTAGACGGTTTTGGATGGGTTCGTTGGGGAAGAGGAGGAAGTGAATGGACATGGTGCCGGGGTTAGGGGAGGGTTCTGATGTGTTGTTGGTGTTGTAGTCGTATAGAAAAGCTAGGGAACGGAGGAGAGGGTGGTAGAAGGGCATGTCTTCTTTGGAGGTGATGTGGGGGGTATAGACAGCGAGGTATCGGTTAATAGACTCCTCGTTTGTGTCTGTGGACTCGTTGATGTGTTCGTAGAAGTGACATGTTTGGTCCATGACCCTGTCCAGGTTCGGGTTCCTGGGAATGAGTCTCCTCACGACCGTTCTGGTGAGAGTGAAATTGGGGATTTCCCTTGCGGTGATGGGTTCCACATGCTCTTCAGCCGTCTCCAGATTGCTGTTCCCATTCTGAGCGAAGGACTGCTCTTTCTGTTGCGGTGTTCGCAGTGAACCCCAGCTGTCGAAGAGGATGTCTGCCCGGTATAGATGGGTTGAGCTCATATTCGGGTTTGCCAGGAGAAAGATGGTCATATCTTGGATGACTTCTGGCTTGAATGGGAGGCCATGCTCAGCCAAGTCTTGAGAGGTGACCCATTCTTCTGTGCTGCTTGCCAAAATCGAAGATGGCTCGAGGGTCTCCGCAAGTGGTTTTCCGGAGAGACGAGTCAAGTCTCGCGGATTCTTTCTTTTGTTTCCAGTCATTGTTTGGTGATTGGGAGTATATGTGGCTTATATCGGTGTAACTGACTGACAAGGAAATGCAGCTCCTTGCCACAGATGCAGATGACTAGCTCTATCTCCAGTTTTAGTGGGAATGTGTCTCTTTACAAGAGATGGCTGTTCATCATTGAAGAATTCTGCCATGGGTCTCCGATTAGTCAGTGAATCCATGGTGGGGGAATTGGCAGAGACCTTGATCTATGTTACTTTAAAGTGCTTTTGTATAGGTGATGATGTGTGGATTGCCTATGGTACATGCAATTTCAGACACCAAAAGATGCCCCTCAGTGGTATACAATTTGATGTAGAATTCCCCTCCATCGCGTGCACATCTAATATTAGTCATTGTAGACTATGCATCATGTGACTTTTATGCTCATGCTGTTTACTCTGCGTATCTACTTGAAGCAATGCTAAAGAGATAGCTTAGATAGCTATTCCCCTATGGCCAAAGAGGATTCATTACAGAAAGATGACCCTTTCCGCGCTAAGTTTGGTTTATCTTCAATCCCTGGCCTATCTCCATCCTTTCCTTGACGCCTCGCATGTTTGGGCAG